TGGGGGTGAGGGTGGCGTTTGTGTGTGGAGAAAAGGTTTAATGGTTGTGTACGGGTGAAATGAGAGGAAAAGAATTGTGCTTTGTATTATGTTGCTGTAGAAATAAAATGAGAGGAATATACTCTGTGGTTGGTCTTCTTCCTCCTCCTCCTCCTCCTCCTCCTCTTCTTCTTCTTCTTCTTCTTCTTCTTCTTCTTCCTCCTCCTCTTCCTCCTCCTCCTCCTCCTCTTGTTCTTCTTCTTCTTCTTCCTCCTCCTCCTCCTGCTTCTCTTACACCTCCTCCCCCTTCTCCTTCTTCTCTCCTCCTCCTCCTCTTCTTCTTCCTCCTCCTCCTGCTTCTCTTACACCTCCTCCCCTTCTCCTTCTTCTCTCCTCCTCCTCCTCCTCCTCCTCCTCCTCTTCTTCTTCTTCTTCTTCTTCTTCTTCTTCTTCTTCTTCTTCTTCTTCTTCTTCTTCTTCTTCTTCTTCCTCCTTCGTCTCTTCCTTCTCCTTCTTCACCCTTCTCTTCCCTTTATTTATTTTGCCTTCTGTTCAGTCGTGTCCGATTGGTGTCCTGCAATTAGAAAATCAAAAGTCATACGAATCTCCAAGGCTGTTTTTAGGGAGCTGACTAGATGACCTCCTCAGCTCTCACGTTCCACACAGCAAGCCAATCCCTACTTAAATGTGTGGTTGTGTTTTTAGACGTGTACACGCCCTAGGAACACACCCACGCTATTGTGGAGAGAATAAAAGATGGCTGGTTTGATCCCGGACGCTGCAACCGTCATAAATATGGGTCGGTTGCCCAAATTTTGATCACTTGGCCACGAGGGTGCTGGAACGGTCGTAAGTGTGAAAAACGGTCATAAGTCAGTTTTCCGGTGCCGTCGTAACTTTGAACGGTCGTTAAATGAAAGTTTGAAAGTCAAGGATTACCTGGTGTATAAATAGAGAACGTATTTTACAATACTGTAAAATAAATACCACAAAGAAATAGTACATGTAAGTTTGTATATGTAAATGATAAACAGGTTTGACTAGACCCAGTTGGTAGATGCGAAATATTAAAATTTAGATATTTAAATAACATCTATTTAAATGTTTCACATATAAACTGGGTCTAAATGGTGATATCATTAGATCTAATTTAAATAATATCTAATTATTTCAATATTTCGCATATAAACGGTCTAAATGGTCATTACATCTTATTTAAATATCTTAATTATTTCAATATTTCGCATATAAACGGTCTAAATGGTCATCATTAGATCTAATTTAAATATCTAATTTCAATATTTTGCATATAAACTGGGTCTAAATGGTCATCGTTACGTCTTATTTATTTCAATATTTTGCATATAAACTGGGTCTAAGTGGCCATATCATTTCATCCTATTTCAATAATATCCAATCAGGTTATTTAATATCTAATTAAATACACAATTTAACAATGCTGTATAATGGCACCCTATATTAACAGCCCTGAGGCCCAAGCGGCGAGGACTCAATTTTCCAGAGTACCTCTGGGCAGCGGCCATGACGGGAAAGACAACTCCAGGGGGCGGGGCGAGGCAAGGATGGACGTCAAAGCAAGGAAGCCGGAATCTCCATTTCCCGTCAGGCCGCGCGGCCGGGAAAAAAAAAAAGTGTGTGTGTGTGAGAGAGAGAGAGCCGCTCTCCTCCTTTAAAAAAAAAAAAATGTCAGCGCGAAGACTACGCCTCCCGGCGTGCCCCGCGCGGCCTGCGCGTGCGCAGTGATAAAGTGGCCCCTGCGGGGTGAGGGCGGGGGAGAGGCGGCCATCTTGTGCGAGAAGCGACCGGAGCCGCCAGGCAGGAAGCCCCGAAGGAGGCCGGAGGAAGGAAGGAAGGAAGGCAGGAAAGAAAGAAAGCAGGAAGGAAGGCAGGCAGGGAGAAGAAGCCGCGAGCAGAGCCGCCCATCCGCCGCGGAGGAGCCGCCGCCGCCGCCGCCGCCGCCATGAACCCCGAGTAGTGAGTGTCGCTCGCCGCCGGGGGTGGCTCCGGGAGGGAGGGAGGAAAGCGGCGACCTCCGCCTCAGCCAGGCCGGGAAGGACGCCCTCCTGCCTCGTCCGGCTCGTGGACAGCCGGACTACAAGCCCCATCGTCCCCGCCCGGGTTGGGGTCTCCTGAGGGGACGGACTACACGCCCCATCAGCCCCCACCCCCCGGGCCGGGGCTTGGGGTTCTTAAGTGGGTGGGGGTGGGGTGGGATGGGCCGCGTTTCCCATCATCCCCAGCCCGGGTGTTGCTTGGAGGGCGGCTTTGTAACTCCTTCATGCGGGGGGGAGGGAAAGGAGGGGCTGCGGCCCCATCGTCCACGGCTGGGGGAGTGACACACCCCCTCCCCAAAGTTGGAGGCCTTCTGAATGGTGGAATTGTCACCCATGTTCCACGGCAGGGACAGTTTCCCCCCCCCAGGGTGTTTACTTTTGGGGGAGTGGGATGGTGGCCCCATCATCCACAGCAGGGCTCGTTTTCCCCTCCCCCCAGGGCGTTTCTTGTTGGGAGAGTGGGCTTGTGTACCCATCATCCACAGCAGGGCTCGTTTCCCTCTCCCCACAGGGTGTTTCCTGTTGGGAGAATGGGTTTGTGGACCTATCATCCACATCAGGGCTCGTTTTCCCCTCCCCCCAGGTTGTTTCTTGTTGGGAGAATGGGTTTGTGGACCCATCATCCACATCAGGGCTTGTTTCCTGTTCAGAGGATGGGGTAGTGGCCCCATCATCCACAGCAGAGCTACTTTCCCCCCCAGGATGTTTCCTCCAGGGTGGTCCCTGCTGGGAGAAGGGGCTTGCAACCCCATCATCCACAGCTGCAGCCCCCCTCTCCCCTGGAGTTGGGCAGCCAATACATTTCCATTAAAAATACTAAACTCTTCATCTTTCCTCCTTTCCTGCCATGGAATTATAACCCCATAATCCCCAACTGGGTAAACTTCCCCTATGGCTGGTTCCCCCCTTCAGACAAGTAGGGATTGCTGCCCCATCATCCACAGCAAAGCCAATTTTCTCTCCAACATTGCTCTTTTTTGCTTCTCCCCCCAAAAGACTTTTTTTTTAAAAAAAACCATCATTCCCAGCTGACACAGCCTTATGGATTTATAGTCCAACTCAACCCCTGGGTGTAAACAGCTTATTACTCATGCTGGAATATCTGGATCCTCTTCAATGATGGCCAAAAATGGCCAAGAGAGAAATGTTTTTAGAGACCCTGAATGTTGTGAGAAAAGCTGTGTTTTATATTTTTTTTAGCTTTTTAAAATGTGTATTTTTTTAATGTTTTAGCTTTTTAAATGAGTAACGGCTTGTAGCCCACCATTCTCATGCTGGCCTATGTAAAACAGGCAGTCCTTGACTTACAACAGCTCATATTGTGACTGTTCAAAGTTACAACGGCACTGAAAAAGGTGACTTACGACCTTTTTTTCATACTTACGACCGTTGCAGCATCCCCACGGTCACGTGATCAAAAAAATCAGGTGCTTGGCAACTGACTCATGTTTATGACAGTACATATTTGCAACTTTCTGACAAGCAATGTCAATGGGGCTAGCCAGATTTCCCTTAACAACCGGGGAGAATTCTGGGAGGTGAAGTCCACAAGTCTTAAAAGTTGCCAGTATATAAGGTGGGAACGCCCCAAAGCCCCTTGCTCTTTTAGCTAAGCCCTTTTCCCTTCTCCCTTCCATTAGACTGCTTCAGGGCCTCCTGCCTGAGCAGGGGTTGGACTACAAGACCTTTAAGGTCCCCTTCGAACTCTGTTATTCTGTAATGTGGAGTCTTTGTCTTTTTCCAACTTCCCAGCTGCTATTTCCACCTCCCCCCCAAGGAAGCCCCTTGGTCTATTATGGATCTTTAAATTTCTCCAATGCAAAAGCACGTTGGTTGAACTTTTCTGTTCTCTTTTGCAAAAATCAGGAATCGGTCAAGGAATCGGTCACTATCAGTCCTGAGATGCAGAAAACCAGATTGTGCAATCCTTGATCTTGCTTTGCTTTCTGTGAAATAACTTGCATTTCATGTAAACATTCCTGTATGTTAAGGGCTACCCTTCATGTGGCTTTTTCAGAGGGAAAACCCTCCTCAAGTATGGAGCGCATAGTTTATTTCACACACTATTATTAGAGGGGTTTTTTTTTTATAGGGTTTGCTTGCCCTGAACATTATTTGGTCTTCCTTCCACTCTGGTTTAGGAAAAGATGAGCTACAGAGTTCACCTAAGGTGCCACAGGACACCTTAAGAGTTTTGTTGTGACAAAATAAACACCATCCCATCTTTGAAAGCTTCTGTGGGGCTTAATTTGCTTCTCTGCTGAGCTCCGGGGGTGTTGACACATCACTTTATAAGCCATAGAGTTTAATTTTTGCAAACCACAGGGACTGAGTTCATCGTGCAGGCCAAACCGAAATTAAACAATTCGGTCTCTGTTTCCTTCTAAAAATCATGCCACAGGATGGGATTATCCAGAGCTATTCCTTGCAACATTTCGTCCGTGTAAATCCCTTGGGTATTAGCTGTAGAGACCTGTAAGCCCTACTGCCCTGTTTTTGCCTTCAGGTAGTCCTCAACGAGGTGTGACGGGTCCTCGGGTCTGGATGCCTTGATTGTACGACCCTTTTTACGATGGTCGTAAAACCATGATCATTAAAAGTAATCCTTTCCCCCTGAAGTTGCAGTGACATGACTACAGGACCCCCCCAACCGGTCGTAAATGTGAACCGGTTGCCAGGTGCCTCAAATGGAATCAGGCATGAATGATCCTGTGTGTTTATGTGTGTGTGTGCGTGGCAGTCAAAACTTCAAGGCAAGTTGTAAATTCGAGGATAGGGTGTAAGTCACCTTTTTAAGCCAGTCGTAACTGGAGATTGGTCACACAAAGAACAGTTGTAAGTTGAGGACTGCCTGTGGGGGTGAATACCGGGCTCTTCCAAGCCCCGCTTTCTTTATATGAATTCTGAACGTCGCAAGCCAGCGTTAATAATGAAAACGAAACGGTTGAATGAGTGATTTTTTATTTTATTTTATTTTTTTACAACTGCCGACCTACAAAACATTTTTTTCTCTCCTTGGGATCTATTTCTTAATTGCAGGTCCTGGCTAGAAAGTGGTGCCCGGGTTGCCAAACAAACAGGAACGGCTGCAGACTAGATGATAATTGTTATTTATAATGTTATATTTTACCTGTCGTTATCAGAGGCAAGGCCAGCGGCCGGAATGTAGAAGAGGCGTCCGTGGTTATGTACGGGCAGTCCTCGACTTAATAACACTTCGTTTAGTGACCGTGCAGAGTTACAACAGCACTGACAAAAAGTGACTGAAATGGTATAGGGTTTCCTGCTTGAGCAGGGGGTTGGTCTAGAAGACCTCCAGCGTCCCTTGAAACTCTATTATTCTGCTATTCATTCCTTCCTTCCTTCCTTCCTTCCTTCCTTCCTTCCTTCCTTTCTCCATCACTGGAGTTTTTGAAGAAATGACTGGACAGCCATGTGGAATAGGGTTTCCTGGCTGAGCCAGGGGGTTGGTCTAGAAGACCTCCAGAGTCCTTCCGACTCTGTCACTCTGCTACAGGCAGTCCTTGACTTAACAACCATTCATTTAGGGACTGTTCTAAGTTACAAGTCATCGTAAAAAAAAAGTGCCTTGTGACTTAACAACCGCAGTGAATTCACTTTAACCAGTGAAAGAAAAGCGGTAAAATGTGGCAAAATTCACTTCGCAGGGGTCTCACTTAGCAACGGAAATTTTGGGCTCAACGGTGGTCGTAAGCCGAGAGGATTACCTGTCTCTGGTCAGGCGCTGTAGGAGATCCAGTTGCTCAATCCGTTGAGGCCTTCAGCTGGAGGTGTGAAGGTTACTCGGATGTTGCAAATCCCATCCGGGGCCTGTAGTAGTCTGACTCACCCTCCTGGTTGCTTAACGCCAAGTGACAGGAAGCTGGACTTTGCTCACTGGGTGGAAGAGGCGGAGCGAGCACTCTGCAGGCGCTCAGAGGCACACTAGGCTGATTTGGAGGTGGGGAGGGAGGACTCGGGCCCCTTAGGAATTCAAGAGGCGCTTCTGGGAAGGTCAAAATTCAGGATAGATTGCCCTTAATTTCACAACAGTTCGCTTAGTGACTGCTTGAAGTTACAACGGCGCTGGAAAAAAAGGGCTTACGACTTGTTGGATGGTCGCGTGAACAAAATCCATCCCACTTGGCAACTGACTCATACTTATGACGGGCGCAGCGACCCGGAGGAATTCTGGGAGTTGAAGTCCACAAGTCCTCAAAGGGCCCAGTTTGAAGACCCCTGCCTTACGACCCCCAGCAACATAGACACTGTCTATATAGTCTCTTGACAGCTGTCAATCCCGGTTGCCTTGGCTGATCCGGAGCAGGATTTTCAGCTGTGTCACCAGGAAGTGTCTCACCCAGCCGTTTTCCGTTCCATTAAGTAGCACGACTCACTTCCTACCCTCCTTGTGGTGCACCTTGAAATGGTGGTGGTGGAATTGTGGCCCCCATCTACCTTCCAGGGGGTGAGGTGTGCATCACTCGGGGGGGGGGGGGGAAGGTATCTCTGTGCGACATTTGTGTGTTTGTGGAGAATTGCAAGAAGCCCATCCTTGCATCTTGGGAGCCTTAAATATTTCATGCCGAAGAGCTGCGGCGATGCTCTCAGCTGTGTGCAGTCCTGCATCTTCAAATGTTTGGGGGACGTTTCTAGCCTAAAAGCCCTTTTTTCTCCTAGCTCTGCCTCCCTCCCCGAGGAGAAAGGATGTGGTCTTCAACTAGGAGTGGGGCAAGAAAGAACGTTTTCTGTTGGCGTGTTAGGAAGTGTCATTTTGTGGTTACGGACGGTTGCTTCCTCAAGCGGCCTCCGAAAAGCCGGCGTGGCGGCACGGAAGCATTACGGAGTTTAGCAAGTGGCTTAAAAGGACCATTTTAATTTTTTCCCCGTCAACAAGGACTGTGGGGTCCTTGTTGCTCTCTGAGCGTGGTGGTTTTCTTGTAGGCATCTCATGACCCAACCAAGGAACATCATCAGGGCTAGAAGAGTGTGGGGTTTGTGGAGTGAAGGAGGAGGAGATTATGGGGTCCTTGTTGCTCTCTGAGCTTGGTGGTTTTCTTGCAGGCATCTCATGACCCAACTAGGTAACAATATCAGTGCTAGAAGAGGGGTATGTGGAGAAGAGGAGGAGGAGGAGAAGGAGCATGAGAGCTGTGGGGTCCTTGGTGCCCTCCGAGCTTGATGGTTTTCTTGCAGACGTCTCATGACCCAGCTAGGGAACATCATCAGTGCTAGAAGGGAAGAGGAGTTGTGGAGAGGAGGAGGAGGAGGACTGTGGGGTCCTTGGTGCTCTCTGAGCTGGGTGGTTTTCTTGCAGACGTTTCATGACCCAACTAGGAAACATCATCAGTGCTAGAAGGGAGTGGGGTTCATGGAGAAGGAGGAGGAGGACTGTGGGGTCCTTGGTGCTCTCTGAGCTGGGTGGTTTTCTTGCAGACGTTTCATGACCCAGACTAGGTAACATCATCAGGGCTATACCTCATTTCCACCCTGAGCTACACATAATTCTCCTTTCTTGGCCCTTCCTGGTGTCTTCCTGCCTGGGCCTGGAGCCTGAATCCACGTTCACACGTCACCAGCCTCCTCCGTTTCCACCTGGCCGGTGGAACAAGGGCCTCCCTTCCCCGTCCAGATGAGGTGGAGTCCCTCCCTTCCTCCTTTTTAAGTCAGGAAAAGTGCCAACTCACCCATCTGGTGACTCGCCAGCTTCCCGTCACCTCTCTGCCTGTCACTCAAAAGCGCCCTTGAGAAACCTCCTCCGGCCTTTGACTTTATGCGC